AAGTTAAGGCGGATGGTACACTTGAACGCCTCAAGGCTCGCCTTGTCGCAAAAGGCTATGCTCAAAAGTATGGTATTGACTACTCTGAGACTTTTTCTCCCGTGGCCAAGCTCTCTTCTGTTCGTCTGTTTATCTCCATGGCCGCTACCTATAGTTGGGATCTCCATCAATTAGATATCAAAAATGCATTCTTGAACGGTGATCTCCTTGAAGAAGTGTATATGGAGCAACCACCAGGTTTTGTTGCTCAGGGGGAGCGTGGGAAGGTGTGTCGCCTTAAGAAATCACTCTATGGCTTAAAACAAAGTCCTCGGGCATGGTTTGACAGATTTAGTACTGTTGTGAAAAACTTTGGCCTGCACCAGAGTAAGTGTGATCATTCTGTGTTCTATCAGCAAACAAGTGCTGGCATGATTCTACTGGTTGTGTATGTCGATGACATTGTGATTACAGGAAACAATGCCTCGGGGATCTCATCTCTCAAGTCGTTCCTTAACTCACATTTCCAAACGAAGGATCTGGGTTCATTGAAGTATTTTCTGGGAATTGAAGTCATGAGGAGCAAGAAAGGCATCTTATTGACTCAGAGAAAGTATGTTCTTGATCTGCTGAAAGAAACTGGGAAACTAGGGGCTGCCCCGACCAGCTTCCCTATGGTCTATAATCCTCTGCTTGATGCTGATGGTAGCATACCATGTGAAAATCCTGATGAGGCTGCTAAGAGCAAGCCATTTGAAAATCCAGAGAGGTATAGGAGACTGATTGGGAAGTTGAATTACCTTACAGTGACCCGTCCTGATATCACCTATCCAGTAAGTGTCCTTAGCCAATTTATGGTTGCGCCAACTGTCCGACAATGGGAAGCCTTAGAGCATGTGTTACACTACTTGAAGGGATCCCCGGGTCGTGGGATATTGTACAAGAATCATGGTCACACAGACATTGAGTGCTTTTGTGATGCTGATCATGGTGGGTCGAAAGCCACGAGACGATCGACTACAGGATACTGTGTTTTTGTAGGAGGCAACTTGGTGTCCTGGAAAAGCAAGAAACAGAATGTGGTGTCACGATCGAGTGCAGAAGCGGAATACAGAGCCATGGCGCAATCTGTATGTGAGATAGTTTGGATATACCAGCTACTAAAAGAGGTTGGTCTTAAAACCTCGTTACCAGCAAAGCTGTGGTGTGATAATAAAGCAGCCCTACACATAGCTTCGAATTCGGTCTTTCATGAACGAACGAAACATATTGAGATTGACTGTCATTTCATCCGAGACAAGCTCAAGGAAAACTTCATCTCTACAGGACATGTCAGATCCAGCGACCAGTTGGGTGATCTTCTCACCAAAGCTCTCAATGGGGTTCGAGTTGAATATCTTTGTAACAAGTTGGGCATGATTGACATCTATGCTCCAACTTGAGGGGGAGTGTAGAGATATTATAGGAGATATTATAAGATATGTAAATATCCTGTAATTAGTATATAGGATATGATGTGATATGATTTCATATTAATGAGCCATTAATACCTAGGCTCCTCTATTGTATATAAATACCCAATCGAAGTATCAATAAAATACACAATTTCATTCTCTAAATTACAGATTCAAATATTTTTAGTTACTTTATTTTAAAAAAATTCTCCCGGCCATCAGAGCTCTGACCTTGAGTGCTGGTAGTCATAACTCCGAACAGATAAATATTTTTTTTTTTTTTTTAAAAAAGAGAGGTGTTATTATATTTTTATTCTTAAATTTTAATTTCATTTTAATCCTAAATTGAAATTTTGAAATGTTTTAAAGGTTGACTGATATTAATTAGCTACAGTGATCCTAAAATGAACTTTTCCCTTTATTTAAAAAATTTTTTCTTTTCAAAATGTAAGTACTACCACACTGTACTTTTATTTTAATAGGAAAACTAAAGCATTTAACAATCATACTATTAATAAATTTAACTGATTCAAATTAAAAATATAATTGTTTATAAAAAATAAATTATGTTAAATGAAGAATAATATAAAATAACATCTAATATACGCATTGTTTAATGTACAAATATTAGATCCTTTGTTTGACAGGCAAATATTTTTATGTTAAAAAAATTCTAGGTGAGACTTGGGTTTATAGTAAAATTATTTGTTACATAAAGGCCAAGTCTCTAAAGAAAGTTCCACCCTATATAGTGGCAGCTAAAGGGATACAGACACGTAAAGTAGAGTAGAAAGATGATAATATAACTAATAGTTTTTGGATAAAAAATAAATTTTAAAAAAAAAACAAGTTATTCTTTACTTGAGTATTTTATCAAGGTACCATCTCCTATGGTGATTGAGAATTTATTTCCTTATTATACTCATGCTCAACAATTAAAAATAAAAATAAGTAAATAAATAGATAATGAGTTTTGGAATGTGGGCTATTCAGATAATGTAATTGTCACTGACCTCAAATATCAGAATAGAATTGGACGAGTGATGCAGAAATGTCCACTTCAAATCAAATTAAGAGATGCTCAGCTACACGAAATTAGCAAATAACAATTAGAAACAGAAACAAGAAGTATACAAAATTCAATTATTGTAAATTCAGCGTAATTCATTCATTTTTCGATAGAGACAGCATAATTCCTTCGAGTATACAGTTTTTTTTTTTTTTTTGTATTTCTCTTTAGCGAAACTTGACAAGAAATCTAGGGGAAAAAAAAAATAAACTCATTCGAGTATACAAAATTCAATTATTGTAAATTCAGCACAATATATTATAAAGAAGTGTCTAACAGATTGAAATTAACTTGTAAAGAGTTTTCCAAGCGAACAATATTTAATAAAAATTAATCTTTAAGAAATTATTTTCATGACTGGTTTACGTCTATATCATTTCATAAGAAAAAATAATTATAACCAGGCATTGAGCTATTTTAGAGTAATATTTAAGTAAATTCGCAAAACTTATTTAAAAATAAATTCTTTATTTAGAACTTATATATGTAATCACCATTTTTCCAAATAATAACAGCGTTACCTAGTAATCTTGGTAAATGGTAATTACGTATTATATAGATATATCAACAAGGAGAAAAAGTCTTCTAAGCCAAAATTGAATGCATTTTTTTGGTGACTGGCCAAAGCACATGCATATCTAAAAATCGTTACATTCTTTTATTTTAATAGAAAAACTAAAGCTTTTAATAATCATATTAATAAATTTTATTGAGTTAAATTAAAAATACCTGATTACTTACAAAAAAATTAAATCAAGTGAATTTCAGAAAACTACCACCTCTGGTCCTAATTATAAAAACCAGTTGACTAATTTGAGGAGATTAAGGAAGTAAGTTGAGTTAGTTATTTGTCCTAAATATGTGTTGTTTTTCCTAAAATATTCTTGTTAATCAAGTGTATTAACTAAAACTATAGTTATTAAAAGGACTATCTTAGAAAAAATCGAGTAAATATGAAAGACAAAGTGGATTGAGGTCTTATATTTAAGATCAAAATAAAAGTCAAATACAGTCTTATATTAAGGACCGGAGGTAGTATAAGAAACGCATCTAATAAATTCAGTGTTTAATGTACAAATATCATAGTTCCTTTGATTGAAAAACAAATACTTTTCATATGCAAAAAGCTTAGGTGAGACTTGAGTTTATAATAAAATTATTGTTATTTAAGAATCTGAATATTGAGTTCAAATGATAATGAAAGAATATAAGAGATGAGACAATACATAGACATGTAAAGAAGCGAGATGATAATGAAGGTAAGGGTATCCTTGGATCATAAAAAACGTTAAAAAAAATTCCTTCATCAAGCTAAATAAAAGAAAAAAAGTAAATAAAATAAATAAATCAGTTAGATGACTTAATCTAATATAATCGTTACTTTTTTTTTTTTGGCCACTATAATATAATAGTTACTTACCTCAAATGGGATGACGAAGTTAGACAAATAACGCAGAAACGTCCTCCGGAGTGACTCTCAAATCAAATAAGAGATTATGCCCCACTACACACAAATGGCAAACAACAATTCACCCAATTAGCACACAAACATACGAGATATATATATATATATATATATATATATTTATTTTCAAAAAATTTAAAGTCTTGAAATTCGTTATTGTATAATTATTGACGACCCGAAAGAAGGACCAAAAAAAAAAAGCTCATGTACACTCAGAAAACGGTAGTTATTGAAACAGTATTCAGGTTGATGATATTCCCGATTTATTTTTTCTTTTTTCATGAATATTTCAAATTTCCATAAGAATATTTCAAAATCCATGAGTTACTATGAATATATATATATATATATATATATCAACCAACAACGGTCCAAATTAAATTTTATTTATTTTTAAATTTTATTTTCATATAATCATGATGTAAAAACAAACTAATCTTTTAAACAACGATCAGTTGTCTGTTCAATAACATAAATTCAATATAATGAAAAACATAACTTAAAATAATCTGACTTCTTTCACAAATATATATTTCGAAAATAGCATTCCATCAAATTCAGTACGAAATTTAAATAATATAAATTCAACGTAATCCACAAAAATACAAAATAACATCCAACATTTCATTTCTAACTTTCTAATAATATTTTGATTAAAATTAATATTTACCTCTAATATTTTCAATATCTGATTAGTAGCAAGGGAAGGCAACCAGAACTGATTGTTGAAAATGGATTTTAGGAATTTAAGAAAAAGATAGGACGACTCTAACAATACACACACTCACCTTTCTATCTAACAAATATATAAAACAAAAAAACCTTTTTTCTACTTTATGGTCATGTTAAAAAAAAGAAAAAGACTGATGTCTGGACATAGTATTGGAGGACAGAGACACCGCAGCTGCTGGAAGATCTATTGCATCAACCGCAAGATCTATCGTCACCCAAAAGAAATTTAAAAAAAAACTACATTCTGTTATTTACCTGTAATATGAACTTAAGATAATGTTTTTTTCTTTCCTTTTTTTTTTTTTGGAGGCAGAACAAGAACTAATGGTAAGCAAAGTAGAGAGTTGATCGGCGGAAGTGGGGCGCTGCACACCAGAAGAGGCAGAAGCTTGGAGTCTGGAAGTAGCTTGGAATCTGGGGATCAAAAGGTGATATTGGAGGTTGATGCGAGAGAAGCCGTTAGAAGGTGAAGGGGAAGGAAAAAGAAGGAGGCGTTACCTGTTGTTTATGGAAGGAGATTGCTGACTTAATGGATCGAAGGTGGGAAGTCAGAGCAGAGTGGATTAGGCGAGAAGCGAACGCTGTAGCAGACGCTCTTGCGAAGGTTGACTCTGGAAATGGTTGGGTCCTTGCAGATCTGGAAAGAGGAAGCAGAGATCTTGAAGGTTATGCGAAGAATATAAGAGGAACATGGGGTAGCCGTCGTGTAAGGGTAGGTCATGAGTAGTGCGTCGGCCTTGGGCCCTCTTTTGTCAGCCCAAAAAAAAACAGCAGAGAGTTGATGATTCCACTTGCGCCTTGACTTGAGCTCTTTAACCATGGAGACACCAATTCTAAAGTTCAAGTAAGCTACATTTAATTCAAGGCCAAAAAATTAAGCTATATTCAGAATAATTCCAAATTCGGAATAATGTCCCAAGCACGACGCACACGTACAATCTGTATAAATTTGAGATCGAATGAAAAATAATTCGCTTTAATTATAAATATATTTCTCACATGTTGTATTAAAACAATTTATAAAAGTTCACATCGCAGGTTAATTAATTAACTAACTTTATAAATAATTTATATGCTATATACTAATATTATTTATCAGTATACATAAGTGATGAAAATTATGGTGATAAATTTTCGAGCCGTGGGAGAATGAAGCAAAGCACCAGAAAAGGACTGAATCTAATTAGTAAACGCCAAAAAGTAAAAAGAATATCTTAGGAGAATTATTTGTAAATTTAAGAGGTTGATTTTTAAATCTATGAGATTTATTTAAATTTGATTAAATTTAAGGTAGATTTATTTATTTTTCTCCAATGTCAATTTAGAGGGGGATATTCTGGAGCACCAGAAAATGCATTTACATTCACATTTTTTTTCCTGTCATATTTGTAGAATAGCCGCTATAATTATTTGATTTGGTCCGTCCACATGCTAGTCACTAATGAGTTACTACCTCCTGCTTTTTAATATAAGATATCGTTTGACTTTTATTTTGATTCTAAATATAACACTCCAATCTATTTTTTTCTCTTATATTTATGTATTTTTCTCAAGATAATCCTTTTAAGAATGATAATTCTAGCCAATATACTTAATTAGTAAGAATATTTTAGGAAAGACAACATTTATTATTACAATAACTAATTAACTTATTTCCTTAATCTTCTTCAAATCAGTTAACTGGCTTTTATAACGAGAACCGAAATTAGTATTTTTTTTATATTTAATAATGAATCTGTTGTCATATTCGTAGACTCATAGATAACGAATCTTTGCTAGTAATGACCAAAATACTACTCTGGTACTTGAATAAGGCCCATTTAACTAATTTGATTAGATTAACGAAGTGAGGTAAGTTAGTTAATTATAAGAAATGTGACACATTTTTTCTAAAACACCATAATAATATTTCTTAATACCCCATCTCCTTCTTTTAACTTGATTATGGTTGAGGGAGTATCTATAGGGGTAATTTAGAGAAAATTGATTAAATATGAGAAATGGATCTTATATTTAGGATCAAAACCAACTTAATAATTAGATCCTATATTAAGAACCGGAGGAGTATTAAAATATAATCAGCCCAGTGGATTTGTCTTCTAGCAATAATAATTTAAGGACGTTTCAAAGAAAAAAGCCGAAACGACCGAAGGTAAGTAAACAAAGACTAATCATGTTAATTTTTTTAATGATTCTTTTGTCATAGTTAATTATCATCATATAGATTATTGTTTTCTTAAAAAATATATATTTTTTCTGGCCTTAATATAAGATTTAATGAAATAATTTGAGTGATTAAGGATATTAGTTACATTAGTTAACCCAATATATTTTTTCTAAAACACAATAAGTGTCTTTTTTAATTCCTATTTTTTTTACTATTTGATTATTATTGAGAGAATATCAATAAGATTGATTTAACAAAATTAATAAATATATGAAATAGGTTTTATCTATATGATCAATATTAATTTTGTAATTAGATCTAAATCAAAAAGAGAGTCTTCCAGTTAGGGAGGGACATCTTGTCTTATTTTTTATTTGTTAATGATTCTTTGACACGTAATTTTCTTGTTATCGCATTCACATGGCCCTGCTTGTGACTAATAAAGACTTGTACACTAAAGAAGCGGCCAACAAAAAAATTAAATAAAATTAATCAAATCCGCTTGGTTTAGGCGTTTCGATATTGCAGAAAAGGCACGTAGGCCATAGCAAGCAAATTGAATCGAAAAAAATTATTAAGTTTAGGAAAGTGACAATTTTTTGTCTGATGAAAATAACATTTAGGATCCGTTTAGTTTAGTATCAGAGAAATGAGATTGAGAGAAGAAAAAGATGCAACTTATTTTCTTAAAAATATCTTTATTCTTGAAGTTTTTATTCTTTATTTTATAAATTATAATAATTATTTTATAATAATTTTTATATAGT